AGTGGGAAATCTTAAGTGGGACATTTGTGGAAATCCGTGTCAATGCTGTGTCTTTTCCTATGAGATTACTTGCAAATTCCTTTCAGGGTTTCATTTGAATGTCACCAAATCAAATCAAATCAAATGTTATTTGTCACATACACATGTTTAGCAGATGTTATAGCGGGTGTAGCGAAATGCTTGTGCTTCTAGCTCTGACAGTGCAGTAATATCTAACAAGTAATATCTAACAATTTCACAACATATACCTAATACACACAAAACTAGTAAGGAATGGAATTTAAGAAAATATATATATGGACAAGCAATGACAGAGCGGCATGGACTAAGATACAGTAGAATATTATAGAATGGAATGCAGTATATACATATGAGATGAGTAGTGCAAGATATTTAAACATTGTTAAAGTGACTGTAAACATTATTAAAGTGACTAGTGTTCCATTTCTTAAAGTGGCCAGTGATTTCAATAGGCAGCAGCAGCCTCTAATGTGCTAGTGATGGCTATTTAACAGTCTGATGGCCTTGAGATAGAATGTTTTTCATTCTCTCGATCCCAGCTTTGATGCACCTGTACTGACCTCGCCTTCTGGATGATAGCGGGGTGAACAGGCAGTGGCTCGGGTGGTTGATGTCCTTGATGGTCTTTTCGGCCTTCCTGTGACATCGGGTGCTGTATGTGTCTTGGATGGTGGGTAGTTTGCCCCCGATAATGGGTTCGGCAGACCGCACCACCCTCTGGAGAGCCCTGCGGTTGCGGGCGGTGCAGTTGCTGTACCAGGTGGTGATACAGCCCGACAGGATGCTCTCAATTGTGCATCTGTAAAAGTTTGTGAGAGCTTTAGGTGCCAAGACAAATTTATTCAGCCTCCTGAGGTTGAAGAGGCTCTGTTGCGCCTTCTTCACCACTCTGTCTGCATGGGTGGACCATTTCAGTTTGTCGGTGATGTGTACGCCAAGGAACCTGAAGCTTTCCACCTTCTCCACTGCGGTCCCGTCGATGTGGATAAGGGGGTGCACCCTCTGCTGTTTCCTGAAGTCCACGATCATCTCCTTTCAACCAGCTTCATGAGGTAGTCACCTGGAATGCATTTCAATTCACAGGTGTGCCTTCTTAAAAGTTAATTTGTGGAATTTCTTTCCTCAATGCATTTGAGCCAATCAGTTGTGTTGTGACAAGGTAGGGGGGTATACAGAAGATAGCCCTATTTGGTAAAAGACCAAGTCCATATTATGTCAAGAACAGCTCAAATAAGCAAAGTGAAACGACAGTCCATCATTACTTTAAGACATGAAGGTCAGTCAATACTGAACATTTCAAGAACTTTTAAAGTTTCTTCAAGTGCAGTCGCAAAAACCATCAAGCGCTATGATGAAACTGGCTCTCATGAGGACCGCCACAGGAATGGAAGACCCAGAGTTACCGCTGCTGCAGAGGATAAGTTCATTAGAGTTACCAGCCTCAGAAATTGCAGCCCAAATAAATGCTTCACAGACACATCTCAACATCAACTGTTTAGAGGAGACTTTGTGAATCAGGCCTTCATGGTCGAATTGCAGCATGATTACTACATGATTCCATATGTGTTATTTCATAGTTTTGATGTCTTCACTATTATTCTACAATGTAGGAAAAAAATTAAGAAAAATCCTTGAATGAGTAGGTTTGTCCAAACTTTTGACTGGTACTAATATATATATACAGTTGAAGTCGGAAGTTTACATTCACTTAGGTTGGAGTCATTATAACACATTTTTCAACCACTCCACTGTCACGATCGTCAAAAGGAGTGGACCAATGCGCAGCGTGGAATGCGAACATCTTTTATTATTATTCACCACACGAACAAAAACAACAAAACGATACGTGAAGTCCTTGGGTACTGGTACTAATATATATATACAGTTGAAGTCGGAAGTTTACATTCACTTAGGTTGGAGTCATTATAACACATTTTTCAACCACTCCACTGTCACGATCGTCAAAAGGAGTGGACCAATGCGCAGCGTGGAATGCGAACATATTTTATTATTATTCACCACACGAACAAAAACAACAAAACGATACGTGAAGTCCTTGGGTACTGGTACTAATATATATATACAGTTGAAGTCGGAAGTTTACATTCACTTAGGTTGGAGTCATTATAACACATTTTTCAACCACTCCACTGTCACGATCGTCAAAAGGAGTGGACCAATGCGCAGCGGAACAAGATCCCACAAAACACAAGTGCCAAACGGCTGCCTAAGTATGGTTCCCAATCAGAGACAACAAGCAACAGCTGATTCACGTTGCCTCTGATTGAGAACAGGCTAATTGGTTTGGCTATTTGAGCCAGTAAAGGGGGCTTTACTATTCTTAGGTAGCGGAATGACTTTTGCTTTTAATAATATAATATAATATGCCATTTAGCAGATGCTTTTATCCAAAGCGACTTACAGTCATGCGTGCATAAATTTTTGTGTATGGGTGGTCCCGGGGATCGAACCCACTACCTTGGCGTTACAAGCGCCGTGCTCTACCAGCTGAGCTACAGAGGACCACAAGCCTGGGGGCACACACATTCTAGTAGGCTTAAATTGAAAATATGGCAAATAGGAGTGGCAATATCGTCCGCTATCCTCAGTAATTTTCCATCCAAGTTGTCAGACCCCGGTGGCTTGTCATTGTTGATAGACAACACTACTTTTTTCACCTCACTTTACAGAATTCAAAATAATTACAATTATTGTCTTTCATAATTTGGTCAGATATACTTGTATGTGTAGTGTCAGTGTTTGTTGCTGGCATGTCATGCCTAAGTTTGCTAATATTGCCAATGAAAAAAGTAGTTGGCAATATCAGTTGGTTTTGTGATGAATGAGCCATCTGATTCAATGAATGATGGAGCTGAGTTTGCCTTTCTCCCCAAAATGTTATTTAAGGTGCTCCAAAGCTTTTTACTATCATTCTTTATGTCATTTATCTTTGTTTCATAGTGTAGTTTCTTATTATTTTCATTCAGTTTAGTCACATGATTTCTTAATTTGCAATACGTTTGCCAATCGGTTGTGCAGCCAGAATTATTTGCCATTCCTTTTGCCTCATCCCTCTCAACCATACCATTTTTCAATTCCTCATCAATCCACGGGGATTTACGTTTTTACAGTCATTTTCTTAATGGGTGCATGCTTATTAGTAACTGGAATAAGCAATTTAATAAATGTGTAAAGTGCAGTGTCTGTTTGCTCCTCATTACACACCACGGACCAACATATATTCTTTATGTAGTAACTTGACAAGGAATGCCCACACGCATTTAAATATTACTTTCCTTTACTTTCAACCCAATAAATAAAAGGTGTACAGCCATGTACAAACGGTACAAAAACAGCAGAACGATACAGCCCACTCAACCTGTGGTAGAATCACATTGTACAGATCTGACTCTTGGTGATGACATCATCAAAGGGGAAAGGTCACGGTCAATGCCAATAATAACCATGCACACATGAATGGCAATCATACTATACTGCAGGTAAGTTACAACACATATTCAATGTAATTATTTATATAGTGTCCACACTATAACACTTTACATCAACAACATAGGAATCACCACAAAACGTATTGTATGACCTCTTATACACAATATTAGGCCCAGCCTTTGGAACTTTGGTTTTCCTAGATATGGCTACTATATTGTGATCACTACATCCAATGGACATTAAAGTTCTAGATTCTGTTCTGTTCTATTCAATGTTGGTATCTCCTAAGATGCAAAAACCTTTTGTCTTATTATTTGCAGGAGCTGACCATGTAAACGCCAAAGAACCATGAGGATCAGGTCCAGTCCAGCATTAAATCCTTTAATAGTCTAAATTAATTCCAAGGATATAAATAAAGTTGTGGTATAAGGAAATATTTTGTTTCTGTTTACCCTGTGTATTTGTTTTCCCATTTGTTGATAAATAAATGTACAAATCATCACATTATTTGTTTATTTAATATTGTTTACACACTAGTAACACCTGTTCGTACATACCTGCGTTATACAGGTGAAATAGTTGAAATGATGTGCAGATCGTGTGTGTAGCCAAGGTAACGGCGTTCAACCTAAGCTTCAGGTAAAGCGCGTGCAAGAGACTCCCTCGGCATGAGAGAAGGATCCAGAAAGGGCTCCAGACCGTGTAGTGAAACCAGCGAATTCAAGAGATACGTCATTGCGCACGAGAACGAGGAAACATTTTGCCCTGTCGTATTTAGCTAGCTATTGAACTCAATATCCAACAGCACATCGTGACGAATACTGCCTTCTGGAGTGGGAAGAACTAGATAGCAAGAGATGTAAGTGTGGGCTCGAGGGTCGAATGCGAGAGCCACCCTTGCAAATGCGGGGTAGCTTGCTAGCATTGCTATCTATTTAGCCATAGCTAGCTTCAAGTTTTGTCACTCTGAGCTTAGCTAAGTTAGCTAGCTACTTGTCTAGAATGCTCCGACATGGATATATGTATAGCAACTCTACAATAATAAAGTTAATATTGTCCACAGGGCATAAACTGCATAACGCTATAGCTGTCGGATGCAATAACTTTAACTAACAATAGCTAGCTAACGTTAGGCCTACATGTTGCCTCCATTCACAAGGGGGACGATTAGTGGGAATGATGGAGCGCTTGTCAGTTCACACTAGTCGAATTGTCAGCTTTACACTCAAGAAAAACTCTCCCATATCATGAGACATTAGCAAAGGTACAAGGCTGGGTGAGACATTAGCAACAATACAAGGCTGGGCCTTATCTTCAGTTCTCCACAACGGCTACATGAGCAGATAGTCCTTTATTCACGTGGGCTAGCTACAGTAGTAGTAGCTAGCCTTTTCCTTGCAAATAGACTATCTTAGCTACTGGCTTGCAAATTGGAGTGTCATTACATTCCATGTGGCCTGCCAGTTAGCTAGCTCATGAAAATATATGGAAGGGTGTTGGATCTGGTTAGCCAAGAATAACCATTAGGAATGGCCAGCAAAACCACTGAAAAAGGGCAGAGACCAGTGACAATGAGCCACCTGACCAAGTATGACCTTGGATAAGGTTGAATGGGTGGAGCTAGACTAGCCTGGCCACCTGATGATGAATGTTCCTGATGTATAGTATCTGAATGTAACCAAACAAAGTATTATCTCAGCTAGCTAATCAATGCTTTTTTTTCATCCCTATTTCCTAATGATGGGGGTGCAATTTCCCAAATATATTTATGGTTGGATTTCATGAACAGAACCTAGAAGACATTGGCCATTGCTTTGTATTGGACTAATCAGTCTTCTCTCTTCTGTATTGTCCAATAGGCAGCCAGCAACAGCGAAGTGGTATGACAGAAGGGACTCAGTCTTCATTGAGTTCCTGGTAGAAGACAGCAAAGATCTTCAAGTAAAGTTTGAAAAATCTAAACTTGATTTTCGGTAAGCTGCTTCACCATGACCCGGGACACACTGCAGTTTAATTGACACTGATCTTAGGCAAAATTGTGAGCTGTCCATAAATTAGGCCTATTGCACTCGCAGGAGCAGTTTCCCGGACACAGATTAAACCTAATCCTGGACTAAAAAGCATATTTATCTTTCTTTTAGTCCAGGAATAATATTAATCTTATCATCCCTTACCGTCTGCTTGAGCAAACCGTTCATCTACAGTGCCTTCAGAAAGTATTCACACCCCTTGACTTTTTCCAAATTTTGTTGTTACAGCCTAAATTTAAAATTGATTAAATTGAGATTTTTTTGTCACTGGCCTACACACAATACCCCATAATGTCAAAGTGGAATTATGTTTGTAGACATTTTTACAAATTCGTTAAAAATGAGAAGCTGACATTTCTTGAGTATGTATTCACCCCTTTGTAATGGCAAGCCTAAATAAATGCAGGAGTAAAAATGTGCTTAACAAGTCACTTAATAAGTTGCATGAACTCACTGTGTGCAATAATAGTGTACCCCACACATACAATTATCTGTAAGGTCCCTCAGTTGAGCAGTGAATTTCAACCACAAAGACCAGGGAGGTTTTCCAATTCCTTGCAAAGAAGGGCACCTATTGGTAGATGGTTCAAAATAAATAAAGCAGACATTGACTATCCCTTTGAGCATGGTGAAGTTATTAATTACACTTTGGATGGTGTGTTAACATACCCAGTCACTACAAAGATACAGGCGTCCTGCCTAACTAAGTTGCTGGAGAGGAAGGAAGCCGCTCAGGGATTTCACCATGAGGCCAATGGTGACTTTAAAACAGTTACAGAGTTTAATGGCTGTGATAAGAGAGAACTGAGGATGGATCAACAACATTGTAGTTACTCCACAATACTAACCTAATTGACAGAGGGCAAAGAAGGAAGCCTGTACACAATACAAATATTCCAAAACATGCATCCTGTTTGCAACAAGGCACTAAAGTAATACTGCAAAAAATGTGGCAAATCAAATCACTTTTTGTCCTGAATACAAATTGTTATGTTTGGGGCAAATACAACACATTACTGAGTACCACTCTCCATATTTTCAAGCATAGGGGTGGCTGCATCATGTTATGGGTATGCTTGTAATCGTTAAGGACTGGGGAGTTTTTCAGGATATAAATTAAACTGAATGGAGCTAAGCACAGGCAAAATCCTAGAGGAAAACCTGGTTCAGTCTGCTTTTTACCAGAAACTGGACAATAACCTAAATCACAAGGCCAAATCTACACTGGAGTTGCTTACCAAGAAGATATTAAATGTTCCTGAGTGGCTGAGTTACAGTTTTGACTTAAATCTACTTCAAAATCTATGGCAAGACCTGAAAATGGTTGTCTAACAATGATCAAGAACCAATTTCAGAGACCTAAAGAATTTTGAAAATAATTATATGGCAAATGTTGCACAATCCAGGTGTGGAAAGCTCTTAGAGACTTACCCAGAAAGACATAGCTGTAATCGCTACCAAAGGTACTTCTACAAAGTATTGACTCAGGGGTGTGAATACTTATGTAAATGAGATTTCTGTATTTAATTTTCAATACATTTGTTTTCACTTTGTCATTATGGGGTATTGTGTGTAAATGGATAAAAAACATGTATTTAATCAATTTTGAATTCAGGCTGTAACACAACAAAATGTGAATGTGAAGTCCAGGGGTATGAATACTTTCTGAAGGCACTGTATTTTACTCTGTTTTTGTCTTTTCAGTTGTGTTGGCGGGATTGAAAACCTCAAACACCAAAATGAATTGGACCTTTTCGACTCAATTGACCCCAATGTAAGTATTTTTTTTCAGTTAGCTGCTGAATCACCAACTACAATGACCCAGAAAACCACTGCAATGACCTGGATGTTAAATAGGATGAAAAAGATAATCCCTCATACAAAATGACTTGTAATATATCATGAGCATCTCTCTTCTTCTCCTTGCAGGAGTCCAAGCACAAACGTACAGACAGGTCTGTGTTGTGTTGTCTAAAGAAAGCAAAGGCAGGTATTGCATGGCCACGGTTAACAAAGGACAAGGCAAAGGTCAGAAATGTTTTGGTACAATACTATTCTATATTCCCTCTTCTGTTTTGTATTTCTGGGCACTTATTCAAAAATTGTCTCAGAGTAGGAGTGCCGATCTAGGATCAGGTCCCTCCTGTTCATGTATCTTATTCATCAAAAAAGCCAAACTGATCAGCACTCCTACTCTGAGACTAAGATCACATAGGACATTTTGTCTTAAATGTTGGTTAAAATAATTTAGATTTGGGATGTCTGTTTTGTTTTCCACAGTTTCAATGGTTGGGTGTCGATTTCAACAACTGGAAAGACTGGGAAGATGATTCTGATGAGGATCTGTCCAGTTTCGACAAGTTCTCAGAGGCAAGCAAAGCAAGCATGTCATGTTGCACAAAGTGTGTAATGTTTTGAATGTGTTCAATTATTCTAGATTTTTTAAAATGTCTAAACAGTGATTGTTGTCTCTTATTTTCAGATGATGAACACGATGGGAGGAGAAGATGGTATGCCAGATCTGGGCATGGGTGGTATGGAAGGTCTAGAAGAGGTTTGTTTCTATTTTTTTCTGTCATCTCCAAATGAATTTTACAGCAAATATCAAAGCAATTGCAAACGTACTGTATACGGTGGATGCAAGGAAAAGGAAATCTACTTGCCTACTTGCTTTATGTTTTGCAGTTTTGAGTACATTTCAAACTAATCATCAATTATAATTTTTTTCAGCACGACAGTGATGATGAAAGTAAGTTTTGATAAAAATGTTGCACATGACCACAGAATATAGCAAGCAGACATTATTGAGCATTTTCATTTGAAGTTTCTTGATAATCATAATAATAATAATATGCCATTTAGCATACCATCCACACATGAGCGATGTAGAATTGGTTGATTAACTTTTTACCTTAAATCTTCTAACTTTTCAGAGATGCCAGACCTGGAGTAATGGGAGCATATAGGAAGTCTTTTAACCGATGATAACAAGGAAGTAAAGCCTCAAAGGTCGGTTGAAGAGAAAGATTAGAGATGAGTTATTGGTAGCCATACAGTGGGGGAAAAAAGTATTTAGTCAGCCACCAATTGTGCAAATTCTCCCACTTAAAAAGATGAGAGGCCTGTAATTTTCATCATAGGTACACGTCAACTATGACAGACAAAATGAGAAAAAAATTCCAGAAAATCACATTGTAGGATTTTTAATGAATTTATTTGCAAATTATGGTGGAAAATAAGTATTTGGTCAATAACAAACGTTTCTCAATACTTTGTTATATACCCTTTGTTGGCAATGACACAGGTCAAACGTTTTCTGTAAGTCTTCACAAGGTTTTCACACACTGTTGCTGGTATTTTGGCCCATTCCTCCATGCAGATCTTTAGAGCAGTGATGTTTTGGGGCTGTCGCTGGGCAACACTGACTTTCAACTCCCTCCAAAGATTTTCTATGGGGTTGAAATCTGGAGACTGGCTAGGCCACTCCACGACCTTGAAATGCTTCTTACGAAGCCACTCCTTCGTTGCCCGGGCGGTGTGTTTGGGATCATTGTCATGCTGAAAGACCCAGCCACGTTTCATCTTCAATGCCCTTGCTGATGGAAGGAGGTTTTCACTCAAAATCTCACGATACATGGCCCCATTCATTCTTTCCTTTACACGGATCAGTCGTCCTGGTCCCTTTGCAGAAAAACAGCCCCAAAGCATGATGTTTCCACCCCCATGCTTCACAGTAGTTATGGTGTTCTTTGGATGCAACTCAGCATTCTTTGTCCTCCAAACACGACGAGTTGAGTTTTTACCAAAAAGTTATATTTTGGTTTCATCTGACCATATGACATTCTCCCAATCCTCTTCTGGATCATCCAAATGCACTCTAGCAAACTTCAGACGGGCCTGGACATGTACTGGCTTAAGCAGGGGGACACGTCTGGCACTGCAGGATTTGAGTCCCTGGCAGCGTAGTGTGTTACTGATGGTAGGCTTTGTTACTTTGGTCCCAGCTCTCTGCAGGTCATTCACTAGGTCCCCCTGTGTGGTTCTGGGATTTTTGCTCACCGTTCTTGTGATCATTTTGACCCCACGGGGTGAGATCTTGCGTGGAGCCCCAGATCAAGGGAGATTATCAGTGGTCTTGTATGTCTTCCATTTCCTAATAATTGCTCCCACAGTTGATTTCTTCAAACCAAGCTGCTTACCTATTGCAGATTCAGTCTTCCCAGCCTGGTGCAGGTCTACAATTTTGTTTCTGGTGTCCTTTGACAGCTCTTTGGTCTTGGCCATAGTGGAGTTTGGAGTGTGACTGTTTGAGGTTGTGGACAGGTGTCTTTTATACTGATAACAAGTTCAAACATCCTACAATGTGATTTTCTGGAATTTTTTAGTTGACGTGTACCTATGATGAAAATTACAGGCCTCTCTCATCTTTTTAAGTGGGAGAACTTGCACAATTGGTGGCTGACTAAATACTTTTTTCCCCCCACTGTATTTGAAAGGAGGAAACATCACCAGTTTTCTAAACACATCACAGGAATCTCACTGAGGAAAGACTGTCGTAACAACATTACACCAGAGCATTCTCTGTCCTAGTGCTGCACTGTTCTAATTCTGCATGGACAATTCAGTTGTTTCCATGATGTGTTGTTGTGGGGTTTAGTTATATCGTCCCCTAACTTAACGTTCAGATTGAAATATGTAATGTAGAACAAACACACCTCTGACATGTAGAATGAAGGAATCGTGTCGGTTCTATTCATGCTATTTCTATCTGCAACGTTTGACAATGTTTGCCTGCTGAATGTGGCCCTGCTCTGATGGGATGTGATAATGTCTTAAAGTTACCCACCTCCCCCTTTTTTATTTAATGTCTGTGAGGTTACGTATTGAATATAGACATTTGTGAATTCTAAATTAGGGAAAAAACAGGTTTCAAAGCAACTGCCTATTTTCAATAAAGTTGTTTCTTTTTTAAATTACAAATGTCCCCTTTTATTGTTCATACTGTACGTTTTGTTTGTTTTGTTAATTTATCTAAACAAGTTTTAGCTCAAAGCAAATATTTTCCCAGTGTACGTTAACATCTGCAAATATTACAGGTAATAGTTCATTCATTGGTTTTAAATATTAAGGTATTTAAATGAATATGCATGTTAAACTTATTTTATAGTATAACATAAATTATAATGGTACAACCTTTTCGTGCAATCCCATTTTGCAAGGATGTTTTTGCTTTAGTATATATCAGTGTAAATACAGAAAATTTTCAAAGTATATACCGGTAGTTTACTTCAATGCAGTGGTCGTTGCACATTGTTTTGTATCAAACAAAATTGTAGGAACAGACATAAAAATATTATTTCTTCCATATTCAGAAACATAACTTGTCAATAAATTACCTAATTTAATTTGCAAGTGTTAGTTAAAGCAAAAACACTGTTTCGGCAACCTGTTTTGCAGATCAGGTTAAAGGCATGTCAGTTTGTTAAATGCAGTGTGAATTTTTGTTTACATATTTCTAATAAACTGTCAGACTAAGTTGATGTTTGGAGGTTGTCTGGTTTAATACAGTGTCTTGCTACTTAAAGTGAGAATAACATGTCTCCTGTAGAGGGTATGAACAAAGATCTGTTATTTCAGCAGTTGTCAGTTGAATGCTAATACATCCTCTGGCCACCAAGTGGTGATGATGGTCTATGGCTACAAACCCAGATATTATAGGCTACTGAGAGAATCTATACAGATTAGGAACCATCATAGCAATATAATGTGCTGACAGTCTAGGAGACCTTAACCTTTGGACAGTCCCACTTGAAGTTGTCATTTTCCTCAATAAAGTTATTTGTTGGTTCAGTATAGGAGTGCTAAATGTCACAACTGTGTGCCATTGAGAGACTAATATTAGACTTTAGACACTAACACACACAATTGCACTAATTGAGGTCTTCATGTTGGTAAATTGGTCATATTCTCCTTATCAAAGATGTATGCACATACCATTAATTCCAAATATATTTTTTTGAATTTTTTTATTTACATAAATTGAGTGCCTGTTGGAGTTAATAAATATCAAATTTATATTGGGGTTAGATTTTACAATTGGGTTAGAAATAATTTATATTCGGTGCAAGGGGATGGGAGCCAAGTGAGTTTATATTACTGAACTAAGTACCCTAAGCGAACGCCCTGTAATATTGTATGTCATCATGCAGTAGGCAAGCAGTCTGACCGCACTAATGGAATTAAAGAGAAAAACCCAGAGACCAGTAGTGACAGTGCCCATCAGAAATAAAGATATTTGTGTAATAATGAATGTTTTTTTAGGAAGTTTCTATTTATAATATAGGAAGTTTTTAGGAAGTTTCTATTTATAATATAGAAATTATAAATCCAGGGTTCTCTGATTATGAAAGTATGTTTATAATAAGTTATTGATAGGATCCAAGCATATTGTTCTACTGTATCCTGTCCTTTCCCATACCTTTCATAACCAAATGGCCAAAGAGGAGACATTGTATAGATTTGAAATTATATTGTTATCCATCCAGTTTCAACAATCATGGTAAATAAAAAAATTACATTTTACACTGTACATCAAAGCTTTTCAATGGAATACAAACATAATTATTTAAATTTCAAAATGTTCAACATGAGTCAAACTAAAATAAGGAAGGAAATGTATTCTATCTACCGCTGGAGGAATCAAGCGAAATGAAAGCGAATGTGAAAGTAAAAGGAGAATCAGCTTAAATGGTTCAGTTAACTGCTCTATCAAGTAGTGAAAATGGAAGTGGGTTGTAATGCTATGAGCAGGTTCAACACTGCAGTACCCCTTCCTCCATCCCATCACAAGAGTCCCTGCAGCATCAACTGTCCTGTCACCTTTAGATCGGAACACAAAATGACCGCCTTGTAAACAGAAGGAGGAGGTAGGGAGTGAAAGCAGGAAGGAGGAATGGAGGGAAGAGTGGGACCAAAGAGTCAAAAAAGGGGGATTTGACCTCACCTTCAAGTTTCATGTCCCTCTGATGCAGATGTTATGAAGAGATCATACAGGTGCACGTTTAGTTTACCTCAGCTTTGGATAAAAGCGTCTGCTAAATGGCATATTATTATTATTATATCCACACCTAGTAACACAAAGCTAAAGAATTTAGTCGCCTCAGTTTAGGAGATTATCTTCTCTCTTCTTCTCTCTTTTTACCCCCCAGGTGTAAGAACCATAGCCTGGTTTCAGATCTGTTTGTGCTGTCTTGCTAATTTGATGGCAACATAACACAAACAGAACTAGGACCAGGTTATAATAACCTGAGTTTGGAGGGCAAAACAGACTAGATATCAGAGAGGTGGATTCACCAGTACACTGAAAATAACCCCCCAATCTTAAATCCACCCCTCTTCCCCCTATGGAGAAAAGATAACCTCTCCCCGTAGAGAGAAAAGAGCACCTCTCCCCATAGAGAGAAAAGAGCAACTCTCCCCATAGAGAGAAAAGAGCACCTCTCCCCCTAGAGAGAAAAGAGCACCTCTCCCCGTAGAGAGAAAAGAGCACCTCTCCCCGTAGAGAGAAAAGAGCACCTCTCCCCGTAGAGAGAAAAGAGCACCTCTCCCCGTAGAGAGAAAATAGAACGCACCAGGTGTCTGCTAACACCAGCAAGAAGCCACTGCATCATTATGCACTCATTTTGTTTTTCAACCACATTTTATTTATTTTTTAATTTTTTTAAAGGTTATGTAAAGAAAGAACTACAATCAACTAAGAAAATGAGCTTGATCCACATGACAAAGCCAGTCAAGGTTTGGTTTTCTTTGTTATTACGTAAAATGACAAAATGAAACCCAATCCAGCTGTCACACATCTGTACATAAATCCAATGTAAGGGCAAAATCTTTAATGAAAAAAAAAAAGGCATTCCAGAAACTGAGTAAAACGTAACAGTCTGGCACAGATAATACTGGTACTGAACTGCATACAGTATAAAACCTTTTATCTTCTTAGGCATTAACATGGCTGTATCGAAGTCAAGGAGAGCCAACAGGTCAAAGAAGTGGAATTTTGTAGTAATAAATGAATAATAATGTACAATTTCAAGATTATGTGTTTAAATAGCGATGGAGATTGAGTTAAGAAAAGACCAGTTAAGTTTTGTGTGTTGTGTGTTTATTTTCATATAAATCTGACTGTGTTTGTGCTCCCCTTGAAGAGAGACAGACTCAGAACAATTTTTTAAAAGACTTGACTTCAACGCGAAAATGTAAGGGCTTTGCGATAAAAGGGGAGCACTCTAAATATGTTGTCTGTAAAACTACTAGTGAATCAGAACTTTACTGCAGCAAAATCAAGGAGGAGGGGGACAAAATATGCTTATTTCCCTTAGAATAGACTGCAGTGTGATAAATAAAGACAACAAAGCATAATAACGAACAAAGGAATTGTGGTAATGAAAAAAGTCCAAAATAAAAAGGACTACTAAAACAGGCACACACACACACAACACACGCATGACTTGAAAATGGAATTTGAGTCGAATAAAATCCTCAAATTCTTTAAAAATATAATAATAACATACATGTCAGGTTCTCAAAGTTTCATAAAACAAAAACAAAAAAACAAGGGAGAGATTCAAACTGGATGAAAAAAAATGGAAAAAGCATGCAGAAGTCCACTGCTCTACTGTAGCTTCACTCCTAGCAGACTACAAACGAGATAGAGAGAGAGAGAGATGCCCCTGTCCTGAGCAGTTATAGCCACCTGGTCAGCCAGGAGTGACCCACTCCGTACACCACAGGTCACAGCAGGGTGCAGGGTGCTTTCTTCAGTGGCAACTAAGTCCTCTTCTTACCCTCCGTCTTTATCCTACAGACCAAGGGGGGAGGTATGGGTGAGGGTCGGTGGTGGAGGGTTGGGGGCGGTCGGAGGATGGTTAGGGCTTTGGCTGCCCTGTAATTCAGCATGTCCTGTTTCTGGATCAGCAGAGTGAGAATGAGGAGGGTGAGGAAAGTGGAGTTGTTGTGAGGGTGAGGAGGGTTTGTGTCTATGGTCTATATGTACTATGTGGGTGGGTGGGTTAAAGGGGAAGGGAGGAAGAGGTATGTGTGCGCGTGTGTGTTGGGTGGGGTTGAGGGTTCGGAGGGGATTTGGGTACAGAATAGGGGGATAGGGGGTTCCGAAAGCCAACCTTCTTCCACCAGGCTTATAGGGCCTGTGTCTTGAGCTCGATGGTCTCTCCTCGGGTGTCCTGCTTGCTCTCAGCCTCTGGGGGCCTGGTGCCCTTCAGTATGGCCATCCTCTCAGCGAGACCGCGCATGCGGGGAAACAGCATGAAATCGTAGATAATAGCTCCCATAGCACCACCAATCATCGGACCCACCCAGTACACCTGGCACAGGACCAGACCAGACCAGGGAGAGGGAGACAGAGACACAAAGAGAGAGGTAGAGAGGGGAATGTGTTGGTGAGTTCATCTAGCTATATCACATTTCACATTTCTAAACTCCAAACAACATATTGTAAGTTGTTGTAAATTGCTGTAAATTGTTGTAAAATCTTAAAATTGCTGTACATGTTGTGGCTTTGTAAGGTGTGAACAAAGTGTCTTACCCAGTGGTTGACAAAGTTTCTGACCAGGACAGCGGGGGCGAAGGACCTGGCAGGGTTCATTCCAGCACCAGTGTAGTACATCTATATCAAAGAGAATAGACCAGGGTTATATTATTATTATTATATTTTGGTAGCAGTATGTAGAGTGCAGTGATGAAAAACCTACCTACATCATACAATAGTACTTTCTAATGCACTCATATTGGTCTATCTAGAGTTCTAACCAACCCCATCAAAACCATGGATTACACACCCCTTCTCTCTTGTAGTCACAGAGATCAGGATTTCCATGTTTAGTCAGGCATTCCTGCTTCTGACATCTATTCATATACATAATTGGAATTGACCTTACCCTAAATCCCTAAATATCCCACTTTGATTGATTTTCTATGTTGTTCAGGGCTGGGTTTCCCAAAAGCATCGTAGCACTAAGATCATCTTTTGTCCACTCAGGTTCAATGGAATTAAGATGATCTTAGTGCTACGATGCTTTTGGGAAACCCAGCCCTGATCATATACCTGAGTCATAACAGTCTCTTACCACCCCACTCCAAGCCTATGTCTCTTCATTTCGTTTATTGCTCTTTCAGCATTATCACAAGTTATTCAAAACAATTGTCATTAAAAATACTGAATTACTTTGCTGTTCCCCCACCCCAAAAAAAGTGAAATAAATACACTTGTTTTAAAGTGCTAAAAATCTATAAGCTTCATCCCACCCAACCCTGTGTCTAAGCCCGTTTTCACCCAATACAATTCCCTGTCTTCTATGGTCTACAAACATATATTTCTATATTTGGAATATATGTCTTACCCCCAGCAGGTGTCCTATGAGGACAGAGAAGCCGATGGCTAGGGCGGCAGAGCCCAGGCGTCCATTACGCCTCTCATCGGTCACAGCAAAGATGCAGACAACCAGCTGCAGGGTGAGGAACACCTCCATAGTGGTGGCCATGCCCAGGCTGATACCTGGCTGCAGCTAGAGAAGGCGGACGAGATAGAACAGACAGGTGAATGAATGATTACAGTTCACTTTTTTCAGTTATATCTACTCCACTGGCCGATATGAAAAACTCAAACAGTCAGTCAATCAATCAACAGGTTAAACCTTGAATGCATAAAAATAGCTCACTAAAAAAAGTATAATTTGCTAATCTTACATTGTCCATGAATTCTAAAGAGTGGTGTTTTTGTAAATGTTTAATTACAGATATTTTATGAATATGAACTATTCATAAAATCGAACATTGTAAAAAAAGATATATCTTTTTTTTTTGTTGAAAGTCAGTTGTACAGATTCAACTGCTGTAACGCCAACACATCTGCAGCAGGTCTTCTATTAGGACCTTTAAACTGGGTTGCTATATTGTCTCATATTCCCAATGTAAGAAAGACTGAACTATAAATTCAAACAGACTCTCCAATCGTGGTTACACACACACAGATGTTCTTTATCACCTGTCAAGTTCAAGTTAATTTCATTCATTCATTCATGGCAGATGACAATGGAACTCTGAAATTTGTGATTGTCACCACAGACTTTCCTATCAGGGTTGGGATCAATCCCATTTACATTCAGCTGAATTGACTGTCATTGGTCAGGTAGTCTTACCGTGTTGAGTGCCAGGTTTCCCCTCATGTTGGTGGGGGTGACCCCGTAGAGCACAGCGGCCCCAGCCAGCGCCCCCAGACACTGGGCCACGATGTAGAAAAAGGCGCGGAACAGGGACATCTGGGAGCCAATCAGGTAGGCGAAGGTGACGGCCGGGTTGATGTGTCCCCCGCTGATGTGACCGATGGACTGGATGAGGGTGGCAGCGGCCAGGCCGAAGCAAAAGGCCACATGGAGAACGTTGTGGGGCCCGGTGGTCCAGCGCAGAGCCGCCCCCAGACCGAAGAACACAAAGAACATGGTGCCATAGAACTCTGCAAACACTGCCCGCCAGAACGACATGGACCGGAACTCCCACATGGTGACCAAAAAGTCAAGAGGCTACCCCAAAGCAATGGAGGGATGAAAAGAGGAGCAAAAACAGGAGAAAATGTGTATTCTCCTTTTGAGTCAGCAAGCTCTGTTTACCGTATCAATAGTGACTATTTCAGTGATGCCTTCAAGGTATATAAACAAAAAACAAGACAGCAAACTTAAAAGCAAAAAGTGCCTCTCTAAACCTAAAGATGCTTCCACACGTAAACAACAGTTCCACATGCAACTCTCTAGGAGTCACTAACTTTACTGACTTCCAATGACCTGCAACGTCGCTTTCTGTAAGCAGTTTTTAGTCTAGTCATAGAGACCCGTGTCCTGTCTGTGTGGAGCAGAGAGTTAGTCTCTGTGCATCTATATGCCAACCCTGCTGGTGGTTAGTAGAGGAACATTGATAGACAAAGGTTGAGCATGTCCTGCAGACATTCAGCCTCTCTGTCAGAGCAGGGGGAGCCCACGGGACTATTTATAACGGCCCCAGGGCCACAGCCCCCAGTGGAGGGGGCTGGGAGGGGCCACCACACAATACAACAAATCAAAACTAAAATACTTAACCCTTATAACACCCTGACCTCTCTCTGCCCAGTGCCCATGCCAGGGTTCATCATCCTAACCTTTAACCCTAACTATGAGGTTCATATAGTCCAGGGGCCATGGAGAGAAGAAGGATGCTGAAAGGGGGATATTTTAGAAAAAATACATTAAAATACATTAGGTTTTCATAGACATATTACTTTTGATCATGTGTAAACTCAGGAAATTCATATTAAACAGATATCAGTGTTTTCAGTGGGATTGATAACTGGTAATGTTAAGGTTAGACGTTGGTTGAGGACAGGAAGGCCAGATAAATGGTTTATTGACCTTCTGCTACAACCAGTAGTGGATTGCTTCAGACAACTATAAGACCTAGGCTATACATATGGGTCTGGTGGTGCCTGGTTAGCCTTTCCAGAGTCCCATTTGGCCCAACTCATCTCTCCAGTGGGGTAAAGAGGGTCTTCCTCTCTCAACATGCTTCATGTGCTGACAGACACCAGAGAACAATCAAAGTATTCACAAAACCATAGAGCAAAGGAGGCCCCATAACGGAAACCAGTCTGAACTCACTACCTGCTGCCAATAGAAAGACTGAAATCATATGTGTTGTTATGCATGCGACTCCTATGGACACAGAGAGGAGAAGTACTCTTATCTCATTATGACGTGAAAGATAGGCCGAGTTACTGTCTGTTATGACAATATCAATGTAACACTAACAATATTATTTGATTATTGAGGCTTTATAATATGTGTTGCTTTATGTCATTGCAAAACAGTGATATAAACTATATTCATATTAAGAAACAGATTTGCCTCTACAATGTTGTTCTCAACTGTCAGTATTTTCCAAAGTAGATCTCTAACACTGGCTTGAACTTGTAACAGGACTTGAACCTTCAACCTTTAATCATGTGGCATGTTCTGTTTAACACCCTCAATTGGCAGCATGCCCAGTAGCACACTGCACCCAGAGGGATGCCTCACTATCAATCGGTCTTTCTCAATACTCTTTTGATTGTGTCCTTTTCTCCCACATACTCAACTATTCTCATTCATCCACTCTATTAAACCCTTCAATTAAAACTCCTAGTGAATGATCATTACATTCATTACAATACATGTATTACTTTATTCTCCATAGATAGCGTGCTCTATAGTATTATGGGTGGGTGTAATGCAATGCAAGTTGGTTCTGTGCAGCCCCAGAATTGATTAGGCAGACTTTTACATTGTATCTGGTGACTGAGCGGAGAAGCTCGGGCTCAGGGCAGATAAAGCGACAGATAAACCCGTGTTTGGAGAGGAAGAGGAGGGGAGGGGGGGGGGGGGGGGGGGGGGGGGGGGGGGGGATGAGGGGACAGCAGGAGGTTTGGCATTGAGCTTCTGCAATGGAGCAGCATCGCGCTGACCAGGCTAGCCCGCCAGAGAGGACGGATGGACAGAGTGGTGAAAGGATAGTGCTGTGCTCAGGGGCTTTTCCCTCTCATCCTTTCATACGCTGCAAACAAAACGCTGGCAGTAACAGATTCTGCCGCTTTCCATGATCTGCTTGTCTTGCTGCGCCTGCTGTCGAATGTATAAGAGCTGCCCTTATCCATGGTGGAGCAATAGCTGGTCAGTTAGCCTACTCTTTCCATCCCATCCCTATATGCACTATGTAGCTTACCCCTTACCGGAGTGCTTATACTACAGTACCATTAGACTAAAAATACATTGATTTTGGGTGAGCCACATGTTATAAATGACCATGTGTATTCAAAGGAAAGGGATGTTTTATTTTTATGATAAAGATCAGTGTAACTCTAAACTATTCTCTCATGCCAGTCAGCTGCACACTTAAATGTCATTTCCAAGCCACCTTTGGAGAAATGAAGGAAATTCAGTTGTGCACGTTGGATGCTATCACCAACAATTTTAGTGAGTTGGCAAACAACTGAAATAATCGAAGAACACTGAATTCTGTATTATCTCAAAGTCTGAGATGACCGAATGTGTTAAAACCAAGCAGAGACAGAATCATTAGATCATTTGTTTTGGTACTGTCCACCGGGTTTGGCCGGTGTAGGCCGTCATTGTAAATAAGAATTTGTTCTTAACTGACTTGCCTAGTTAAATAAAGGTAAAATAAAAAAATAAAAAAATATATAGCTTGTTTTTGGTCGCAGTTCCAGGAATGCCTGAATAATTGCAACATTTACCTGGAGCTAACTCTGCAAATAGCACTGCAGGGAGATTTGAAAAGTCACAGTCTATCGATCAATAATATAATAATACTTTTAGCAAAAATGTTCATCTTTAATTTACAATCTGTAGAAACTATGAGAATAGAAAGGTTCAGAACTTTTTTGAAACATCACAGCACAGTTGAAAAATATATGGCAAATATAAATAAAAAATGGATGGCGTTAAGAGATAGATGGGAGGGGTTAAGTGGAGCTGAAGGGTGGCATTAAAAACAACAAGATAACTAATGTAAAATATACTGTGTCTGTAAAATGTATTTAGGCTCAGAACTTTTGTGAAAGAGCACAGTTAAAAATATATGGCAAATAGAAATCAAACTGGATGGTCTTCAGAGATAGATGGCAGGGATTGAGTATAGCTGAAGGATGGGATTAAAAACAAACAGAAGATAACTAAATAGAAGCCTAAGTGTAGTACAAGCCAAAGTGTTGTTTTCCATTAGTTTACTCCAATTAGGGGAGGGGTGGTAGGGTTAGGGGAAAATAATAAAGGAAAACATATTTAAAAAATATATATTAAAAAATATATATATGAGGGATTGGAAATGATGCAGAAAATTACATTGATGGAAGCTACAATCTATCTGGCAATATTAAAGCTGATCTTTCTTCTTGGCCTGTAGGCCTTGGTAAGGCAAAGACAGACCAGGCTCAGAATGAACTCGTTGGGTGGTGGGTTGCTGTATCTCTTTTGTGGTCTATGCATTCTGCCTCCCTCCTGGCCTGCGTTGGTAAGCCCTCTATTGTGGGTGTAAGCCTGTTTTACAGAGAATGTGGTTAAAACCTGCTAGCGAGGGGAATTTATCTTCTATCACCTCTCTGCTTCAGACTGCTGACACCAACACAACAAACCAATCCACAGCCCCTCTCTCTACCATCCAACCAATAGCTCGCTACCATCTATCTCCTACTCTCCAATATCAGCTCTAACACTATGTGATAGAAACACACTCTACATCACACAGAAGCCTGGACAATCTCCTACTCTCCTCAATACCAGCCCTGGGCTGCCTCACAGGCACTACACTGTGGTAGAAATACTCATTACAACTCTCACTACAGCACAGACAGAAGCCTGGAGAACTGAGTAGAACATACATGGCTGTAGATGAGTAATATAATGCACTGAGTGTACAAAACATTAAGGACACCTGCTCTTTCAATGACATAGTGTGATGAGGTGTGAATGAAGGAGTCAGGCACAGGAGGTAAAACACCGAAGTCCAGAGTTTATTCCGTTTACATAAATAAAATGCACCCAGCGTCAATACGAAACTATCACAAGGGAAATATTCCACATTGGCAATAACAAATGTAAGAGTAGCTCAACCGAGCTACTCGCTCTCACAATGAAACAATCACTCACAAAGACAAGGGGAACAGAGGGAACACTTATACACATACTAATTAGGGGATTGAGCACCAGGTGTGTGTGATTGACAAGACAAGACATGACAAGTGGAGTGATGAGAATGGGATCGGCAGTAGCTAGTAAGCCGCTGACGACGAACGCCGAAACCTGCCCGAACAAGGAGGGGAGGCAGCCTCGGCGGAAGTCGTGACAGTACCACCCCTTGACGCGCGGCTCCAACAGTGCGCCGACCCCGGCCTCGGGGATGGCTAGGAGGACGCGGAGCAGGGCGAGTCGGATGGCGACGGTGCAAATCCCTCAACAGGGAGTGATCGATGATGTCCCTCCTTGGGACCCAGCACCGTTCCTCCAGACCGTATCCCTCCCACTCCACGAGATACTGAAGGCCCCCCACCCGACGCCTCGATTCCAGTATGGAACGGACCGAGTACGCCGGGGCCCCCTCGATGTCCAGAGGAGATGGAGGAACCTCCCGTACCTCAGACTCCTGGAGCGGACCAGCTACCACCGGCCTGAGGAGAGACACATGAAACGAGGGGTTAATACGGTAATCAGGGGGGAGTAACAACCTGTATGTAACCTCGTTTATCCTCCTCAGGACTTTAAACGGCCCCACAAACCGCGGGCTCAGCTTCCGGCAGGGCAGGCGGAGGGGTAGATTCCGGGTCGAGAGCCAGACCCGATCCCCCGGTCTGAAAACCGGGGCCTCCCTGCGGTGGTGGTCAGCGTTCGCCTTCTGACGACGCACGGCGCGCTGGAGGCGAATGTGGGCAGCGTCCCAAGTCTCCTCCACGTGCCGAAACCAGTCATCCACTGCAGGAGCCTCGGTCTGG